AAAGAAAAAAAAAGGAAAAAAAAAGGAAAAAGTAAAATAAACTTTCTTAAAAAAGAGTACTGTGATTCCTTGGCATCAGTGTCCAGGTAACTTTTCAACAAACTATTAGTTTGTCACCACAGCAAATACAGTATCACTTAAACCATCATCCAACTCTTACCCCACCTGCTGAGAGCAGTGAAATTCCAAACAGTTTAGGAGTAGTCAACCAAAGAGCTTAATGGTTAAAAAACAGTCGTTCAGCCAACAAGGACTTCACAATCAGAACCATCTCACACATCAAATGCTGTTTCGCCACGCTAGACCGGTATTTAGGATCTGATCAACCATGTTAAGCAATTATTTTGCATTAATGGCATTATACTTCCAGCCATTCTTCTTCATTTACAGCAGGAAATGTATCATGTAAATGCACACAAATATCATCTGATTAAATTCCTCATTATCCTCAGCACTGTATGATTTCACCTCATCCTTTCGTTTGCTTTTCACTCGCCTTAGATTTATTCTGATTAGAGCGATGGTGTAAAAACTACACACGTGACAAAGCAGAATTGGGAGGGATTTGAAGGCTGCGTTGATAATTATGGGATATCTGTCCTTCATTTGATCCTAAGAACAAAAATCACGATAGAGATTTCCTGCTCTAACATAAGAGAGCAGATCTTACCCACCTCTTTGCAGACGCAGGTGATTTGGCCACAATTACAGCATTCCTGTAGTCTGGTATCTGTAGTAAATAACAGATAGCAATGTCTACTTCATATCTTTAGACAAATTTAAACTCAGTAAGAATCAGAGAACTTTATTTTGCTGAAGAATTTTAAGCATTCAACAGTTTACCTAACACAAGAAAGCAACCTCAAGAATCCATGGTACGTGATCAGAGCTCGCAGCTCAGTCAGAACAGGTATTTAGAAAATTCAGATATTAACTTAAAACTCTACCTCTCATCAACACGTTATATTACAGAGGACACAAAAGTAACTGTGTTAGAAGAACATCAGGGCTACAGGGACAAGTGTTAAAAGACACAGGAAACCAGCAAAATTAAAGTTTCCCATTCAATTTAAGTTGTCTTGTGTGTGCACACGGCAGTCACCACTTGAAAACACAGCGCTTCATCTGCTGCCTGTTGGGGTTTTTATAGAGTACACCAAAAAAAAGTAACACCTCTCCATCAGATCATTCTGACTCCTTATACAGACCATCAAAAGGGATAAAAATTCTGCCTCCACTGCACTGATCCTGGAGTCACAGTTGAGTGTTGCTGCAAACTGTCTTCCACGCAGATCAGCACTGGAGGACGCGGCTGCAAGTGCCGACAGCAGCCGAGGGGCACGGCTGAAGTCTGGGTTTCATTTGGAGGTCTGATGGGTGTTTCAGTCACTCTTCACAAGCACAACCTACTCCAAAGTTTGCTGCTCCTGCCCTGCCCCACTCTCATAGTGGCTTTTCACTCCAGACTCTTCTCCCTTTAGCCAGAATTTTAGTTCCCACCTCTCAAGAGTTTCTTATCCCAGTCCCTGTTTTCCCTGCAAACACTGACTCCACATCAGACTCATCTTTCCTTGTCCATAACTCCTCGAGCATTCCACCATTCCAACAGCAATCTCTGCTCTCTCTAATACCTCATCTTACCCTCTTCTTCCTTCCAAACTCAGCATTTTCCTTCACTGTGCTGCTGTGGGATGATCACTCTGCCACAGAGAGCAGCAGACAGAACCTGTCTGTCCTTCTGTCACTTGCCAAAACGAGAGTCCACAGCCCCTCTCAGCTGCAACAGTCCTACAGAGCAGATCAATCCTCAGAATCCCAGTGTTAGAGGACAAGACTCTTTACTAACACCTGCAAACTGACCTGCTGTAGTTGTAATTTCACAGATCTGGGGGGATGGAACCCTGCCATGTGGTTTATCACCTTGCTGTCAGATGTTAAATTCCAGTTCCAAAGCACAGAAATACTTTTTTTTTTTTAAATCCAAACACAAGCAAGGTGAGTTCTTCCACAGTCTTATCTCAAACATACAGACCACACTGGCTGAGTATTTCCAAAAGCACTCGACTTGAAATAAGCATGGAAAAGAAAAAAAATGAAGTTCTGAATTTGGGCATGGGCCTAACCAACTAAAAACAAGAGCTTTTTCTGAGGAGGTGTCAGTCAGCATTAGTAATCCACCATGCTACTAACTCCACCTAGAACACTGGGAATTCAGCATGTTCTGTCCTTCACAAACACTTGAGTTATACAACAGGCTCCAAAGATTAACATGACGGAAGGTATGGACAAGGCAGGGCCTGTCACTTGACATAATAAAAGCTTTGATCTTGTTCAGACATCATTGCCTCATTTTTCTCCTGCCAAATTATCAAATTTGTTCTCAGCTCTTTAAAAAAATGAAGTCAGAAAGACAGAAATGTCATCCAAAAGATAGTAACACATCCTACGTCACTCTGAGATCAACATGGACGGGTGTAAAACCTCCTGTGCCAAAAGCACAAAGGAGAGAAGACGCTCAGTATTGAACTGAGCATGCAAAGGAAAATCACCAAATTATCTTTATGCCATATTAATTCCACTGACTGGACTGTCTTCATCCCTGAACAGCAAGTCATTCTCTTCACACCTACACATAAATTCCTGACAGAGAATAACTACAAGCCCTCATCCTCTTAACTTCCTGTTAAATGCTTTTTAGGTGCTCTCCACTCTTACCAAGCTGGACTCTGTTCATGCTACTCAACACACCCCATCACACCTCCCTTCTGAAACATGCTCCATGCTCTGGGGTTCACAATGCAGTACACACAGCAAGCTGCTGTTGAATATTAACTTCTTCCCAAGCAGCACTGGATGAAACTTTTAAGAAAAAATACTATATATGACCTGGCTGGTGAAGGTACTTGTCCAGATCCCACGTGATCAGATACATTCAGTCCGCTCTGGTTTTAGAGTCACCTCATGGCCAAGCAGAGGAATGAAGAAATGAAAAACTCAAAGTCTCTTTTTAAGATCTCTCTACACGTACTTCAGCAAATCCCTACAAGTGTTCAGTTGTTGGACTGCACAGCAGGGCCAGGCTCAAAGCTGCAACAATTCTTTGTCGACCGCTAAGAGCTCATCTATCAAAACAGGCTTCAAACCAGGTCATCTTGTTATCGACCACAATCCACACATTCAACATAGAAAAGGCACAACTTGTCTTTGTGTCCGCAGATTTGTTTGGGGTTTTTTTAGGATGTTCTTTGATTTGTTTTTTGGGATTTTTTGTTTGGTTTTAGGTGGGGTTTTTTTTAAACTTATGAAGTGTTTACAATACTGCTCTCCTGGTACACAAAACAAATGACTGCGACAAAGCCAGAGCGTGGAGTT